TTATTATTATAAGTCAATGCTTAATACATAGGTAGGTACTCCATAAATGACTAAAAATATAGGTGTTGCTTACTAGGAGGTATTTATTAGTTAATGAAATATAAACATTTTACATAATAAAACATAGGTAGGTACTCCATAAATGACTAAAAATATAGGTGTTGCTTACTAGGAGGTATTTATTAGTTAATGAAATATCTAGACACGCGGTAGCGTGTCAAGCCAAGTTCTAGCTAACAGAACTGGCGAGCAGCACCGTGTGTAATATTACACGAACCATTTGGAGCCACTTTTGACCAACTCATAACTCAAAAACTATTTCACATAAACATGTCAAATTTGGCTCATATATTGAGACTAACGAGATACATATGTGCTCTAAATTTCATAAACACACTTCAAACCGTTATTTAGATATTAACGTCCGAAAATCGTCATTTTTATCACTGACTTACCTATAGATCAAAATTCTAACCCAGTTCCAGATGACCTAGAAAGTTCAAATTTGGCATACAGATAGGTAGTTAGGTAAATACAAAGGAAAAAATCAGAAACTTGAAAATTTTTAATTTAAAATTTTTTAATTTTTAATTTTTAATTTTTAAATTTTTAATTTTTTAATTAATTGATTTTATTATAATTTTGCAATTATTTTATCTATTATGTTTAATTTTTCAATTTATTAATGAATTGCCTCTAATTTAATGTAATGTAATATAATGTTGACTTAAATAACCTTTCCCGTATCGCCGCTCCAAAAATACGACTAGCCGAATATGTGTCGATATTGTCGACCCGTGGGCAGCAACATACTTTTTTTTCTATCTATGTATGTAATTAATATTATTTTTTTTTAAATATTACAATTAAAATAATTAAATAATTATTCTTACAAATTATGAATTATCCACCCAACAGTAGAAACTACAGTCAATAAAATTATGATAATTAAAAATATACTCAAAAAGAGTTAAAATAATTGTATATTAATTTTACATATATTTTATACTCTGTATATACAACGGAAAATATTTTATAATAAATATTATTATTAATATTAGTAACTGAATTATATTATATAGTAATAAACTTTATTTATAGAATACGTCATGGCTAGGTTAGGTTAGGTTATAATAATTTACATACAAAAAGTAATGATATCCCACCAAAAACATATATGTAAAATGAGAGCCAAGTTCAATACTATAATATATGCCTTGGTTGCTGACTTCAACGACAAAAGAAGTGAGATCTAAATGGGTGCCAAGTTAGGATAATATATTGAAGCCTAAGGTCTGACTTGGCTACGAATTATATATTATAGCATTTGCAAGTTCTAAAGCTTTGAGTTCTTATTTTATTCTTCGGAAAATCATCTTCACTCTTCCATTACTGTTTTAGTAGGTACTTATAATAATAATTCGTATATGAAAAGTAGCCAAGTCACACCTTAGGCTTCAATATATTATCCTAACTTGGCACCCATTTAGATCTCACTTCTTTTGTCGTTGAAGTCAGCAACCAAGGCATATATTATAGTATTGAACTTGGCTCTCATTTTACATATATGTTTTTGGTGGGATAAACATTTTACATAATAAATATTCCAATTACCAGTACTATTTTAAAAGAAAGGATTATTATTCCAAGTTCCAAATAGATATTTAGTAATTAATTTAATAAGATATCTATGTAGGTATAATAACTGTATGAAATGTAAGGTATTAACTTAATTTTTCGAGCGCAGCGAGGAAATTTATTTTAAGTTTTTTATACTTTCATTAATATTCATAAAATACACCAGGGGCGCAAAATAATTTTGCCCCCCATATGTGAACCCTTAATGCGCCCCTGCAGATTTAACTAATTTAATATACAACAAGGTCCATAAAATTAGTCAAATATGAAATAATTTTTATAAAGCATGCTAATACTCATTTTACAAATATAATATAAGGACCATAAAGTTAGTCAAAAAATAAATAATATGAAAAAATATTTTCTAATAGGTACATAAAAATATAATACAAGACATTTCGATCTATAAAGTCAGTCCAATAATAAATAATAATAAATAATTTTTATAAATAATGCCAATACTCATTTTACAAATATAAATAAATATATAAATATTATATAAATATAAATAATTTTTTTCTAATATAATAATTTTTTTTTATTAAATATCATGATACAGATTGTACATATTATTCAAATCGGGTTTTTTCCCCTTCTTCATATTTTTTAATTTCATTAAGAATAAAATGTTGTCGAACTAAAGTTCCTTTTCTTGTTTTTATTGTTCCTATACTTTTAATCTTAATATAAACTTCTGATTGAAGTTGCAATAAAACATTTAAAAAATTATGTATATTTGGATGTGACATATAGAAATTATTTTTGAAATGTGAATGAAAAGACTCGACGGCATTTGTAGTTCGAGTATGTACCCATGTACGTACCCATTTGAATATTATTTGAAATTGAATACATTTTGGCTGGACATGTTTTCTTGGCACATCGCCAACGAGTTTTGCCACATTGACTCTCATGAGCAAAAGAAAATTTATAATTATTAAAAATTAATAAATTTTTTCCTCTTTCGGACATTAACACTTCCATTGCACCTACTTTATATTACGAAGTACGAACCACGCGTGTACTACTAGATGTCGATCGTATAGTTTGCTAATCAACTATAAACGATCACAATTTACAATGTTTCATAATCTTTGCACACTATACGCGTATGACTATTTTTATCCATTTCATTTGATGACAATTGATAATTCTACATCATAAGATATTGTATAATTTATTACCTTTTGATAAGGCATACGCAGTCGCTTCGAGTAAAGTTTCGTGTGCGCTGCAGTATTAGGAATTGTATCAATTTATATAAAAATATGTATACGCGCAACATAGACAAAACGCATTTACGCAGAATACTTTTTTTTATGATTTTAAGTAATCTTAGAGTAAACAAATAGTGCTCTGACATCCTAACCAAACCATCTGACTTCAATATTATTTTATTACAATTTAAAATGTAATAGTGGCCCAATCACTGGGTCTTCCTATTATAAATATAAAATTTTAGTGGCCCAATTACCGGGCCTACCTTTAATAAAATAATATAAAATTTTGGTGGCCCAATTACTATATACCTATGTAAAAAAAGGTGAATTGTGGCCCAATTCCCGGGCGCCCATTAAATGTAGGTACTGAATAATATAATTATAATTAAATAGGTACCTATAACTTTTACCATCTTTCTTATTTTTATGCAAAAATTATATTTAATATGTAGGTACCTACCTAGGTATATCTTAAATATAACATTTACCTATTTACGCGGAACCCTGTTTTAAATGTTCAATCCTTGGCTAATATATAACTATTATAATAGTTGAACATTTTATACATTTTTAACTACAAAATAACTATTACATTTTGTCAAAATTTGAACTTTAAATGCTTATAAAAAAAAATTGTGCACATGTGTTTTTAAACTGCTATTGTAACAATATATCAGGAGCGTTGCATTAAATGTTCACGCTTTTTTACCCAACAAATACAATTTTATTGATATTTATAGAAAAAAAAAGTAAACAGCCCAAAAACAGTCAAAATATTTTCAACATTTTATCGTGTATAGAAAATGCAAATATAAACGACCAGTGAAAATTTCATTTGTTTTAGAGTTAGACCAAAAACCAATATCAATTTTGTGGAAAACCGTTTTTCCGTAAAAATTCCCATTTTTCCTTAATTTTTATGCTGTTTTTCCCCTCGCTTTTGAAAACTATTGGGAATTTTGACCTGCCCAATGCACCAACAATATTCACTTTCCCATCGAACAAGATACAGAAGTTGAAAATCTAAGCATTATTTCTATATATTCGCGTCACGTGATGCTGGCACCCGGAAATTGTTTTTGGATTTTACGGGCGACTGGGGGGTGTACAGATTTTGGAATTGGGGTTACAAATTTGTACAAATTGTATAACAATTACTGATGTGGTTTTTGGGTCGATAGGCCAAATACATAGAAATCCGGGTGCCAGCGTCACGTGATGCTGGCACCCGGAAATTGTTTTTGGATTTTACGGGCGACCGGGGAATGTACAAATTTTGGAATTGTGGTTACAAATTTGTACAAATTGTATAACAATTACTGATGTGGTTTTTGGGTCGATAGGCCAAATACAACGAAATCCGGGTGCCAGCGTCACGTGATGCTGGCACCCGGAAATTGTTTTTGGTTTTTACGGGCGACTGGGGGGTGTACAAATTTTGGAATTGGGGTTACAAATTTGTACAAATTTTATAACAATTACTGATGTGGTTTTTGGGTCGATAGGCCAAATACATAGAAATCCGGGTGCCAGCGTCACGTGATGCTGGCACCCGGAAATCGTTTTTGGATTTTACGGGGGACTGGGGGGTGTACAAATTTTGGAATTGGGGTTACAAATTTGTACAAATTGTATAACAATTACTGATGTGGTTTTTGAGTTGAAATTCAAACTTGCGGGTGCCAGCGTCACGCACCTGTTTTAAAAATTGATTTTTGTATATATATTATATATGAGTGTGCGCATATTATTTATGCGATAAATATGTATGTTTAATGTTTATGCTGAGGATTATTTATACATTAATAAAGCTCTCGTGGATGGCAAAGGCTTCTCTGCTGATCCCTTCAAATTCGCTTGCACCATATTATTCGGTGCAATAACTTCCAATACATCCCGTCGCAACATCGGTGTTGATACCGCACCCTTCTACACTATATTGACATCGATATTAATACATTTTTATTTATTAACATAAACGAGTCTAACATGAAAAACCACGGTAGCTTCACCCCTTCACACTGTATATGCATATAATATTATATTATCGACGAGGAAACGTCATTTTTATATAAGTATATCGTGTCATTTATCATCATTATATTCGACTAATCGCTGACAATTTGTATTATGCCGTTACAGAGCTACCGCCATCATGTTGGACTGGATCGCCACAAACGGCGGCCATCGCTACTGGATCGTGGATGAGCCCAAGGACGATGGATACACCGCCCTGCATTTGGCTGCTCTCAACAATCACAACCGTGTGGCGTCATTGCTGTTGATCCGTGGGCGGGCCGACCCAAACAAACGAAACGTCAACAAGCAAACAGCACTTCACCTGGCCGTGGAACGCCAGCACGCAGATATCGTCAAGGTATGTATATGGTCTTATACATCGATAACGCCATGGTGATAAATTATCATTTTACTCGGGTATTGTCCATAGACATAATATTATCTATATATCACATATTATATATTATGTCTATGATGGTATTGCCGTACTTATGTGCTTTTTCCGCTGACGTTTTTTCGTAGCTCCTAGTTCACCACTCCGCTGACCCGAATATCCCCGATAAGGACGGCGACACGCCCATGCACGAGGCTTTGCGACATCACACGTTGCTACAGATCAAGACGGTCGGCACACCACCCCCACCTGGCGTGGGCTTGGGAAACAGCCCTAGGGATCCCAACACAAAGTTCCGGTCAGACGGCGGTGGTGGCATATCGCTGCGAAACATTCTCGCCGGCAACAGGGTCATACGTGATTACCGGGAACTATCAGACGACTTTGAAAGCGGATATTCAGAAGTCAGCCGTACTGTTACAAGCCTTCCATGTCCCGTTGAACAGGCGAGGGAACTTTGGGCAGCCAAGGGTCCCGCTTACTTGGAAATTTTCGCTTCGCCGGTGTCCTCGGTTCAAAGATTGATGGCAGAGCTCCTTGGGGCAGCCGAAGAGTTTAGACGTTTACGCAGAAGTTCCAGCAGTGACAACGAAGCTGATGACAATAAAGACAGCGATCTTACTACAATAGATACCGTGGTAAGGCTAGTTATTTATGCATAAAATATACTGGTGACAAACCGGACTAATTCGTTTCTTTTCGTTTCTTACAGCCCGGCTTGAACGAGCCACCCCCGATCAAAACTAATAAATCGAAGAAAGTGATTAACCGCCGTCGGATAAAGAAATCTCCAGTGCGAACTATTCGCCAGCAGACCGTTGACGATCAAACCGGTCCGCGATTAGCCGGAGAGGCACGTGCCGCTGCCCTCGAAGCCGCCATGGCTCTTTCCGGTAATAGTATGCCGGATGATGGTGGACGACCAGGACCAAGTTCCGATCATAACATGGCCGGAGAAGAGCGTTCGGGCGTTCAAACTGCGGTTTCTGGACCGGGAAGAAATATTTTCGGACGGCCCGTGCATGGCCCGGTATCAATATCTGCACCCGCCTCCCCAAGCAATGGAAATGTGATTCCACCACCACCGAGTGCCACCGTAATTGTTTGCGTACTCGCCGGCACCGGTCGCGCTGATTTATGGTTGCGCAACAACCGTGGGCAAACGCCGTTGGATCTTTGCCCTGCCGACCAGCCTTTGCGCCTCGCTCTGATCAAGTGCTGTGACGCTGCCGCTAAAGCTCACAACGTTCAAACTACTACTACCACCGCCACCGCTGTGGGTGAAACAGATAGTTCCAGTGCACTGACTCTTTCCGATGAACGTCCTCAGCAATCCCAACTGATGCTTCATAACATGCCACCAGACTACTCGACCAAAGCACCGTATCATGATGCGTACGCCTCATTGATGTCGAAAGAGCCAGACCCCCCAAAAGAGTGCTCCAAGACATTTGCTACTCGAAGTGATTCAGAATTTCTTAAAATTCCATCAACAATCTCAAAACGTTTTATGAACGCTGGGCTTCCTCCTCCGCCGCCAACTATGATGAGGCTAGATGATAATACTCCGTCGGTGCTTTTACATGAGCCTGAGCCTTTCAGACTCGGTGTAACAAGTACTTCTAGTGGAATAGTGGATAATAACTTAATGAGAAGAATAGACGATGACGTTGACAGCAATGACCCGGAACCTAATTTTATGGACGACAACAGTACTTTAAACATCGCTAGTAATGCTAACGGCAGCATAGTGGTTGATAATTCTAATAATAGGTAAAGTTTGTGCTTAATAGTTGAAAAATATATAGCCGTCTAATACACCTCATGGCTTGTATTTTCTAAATCATAAATTGCATTTTAAATAATCAAATAGTGTATGTTAAAAAATCAGCCCCCCCTCCCATGACATAATCATTTATCCGTCACCAATTTTTTATTTTTTACCTTAAAATATTACTTAAGTTAAAATGTAGTAAATATAAATTATATGTTGTATCAATATCACATTGTGAATCACCCTTTAGGTATAAAAACATTAACATTTTAAAAATTCCCAAGCTTTTTATCAAAAAACGGTACAATTTAATTATATTGTCACCAGTATAATTATTATTTAGGTTAATCTCGGTCCTCTTTCTACTCATTACAGCAGAGCACCTACTGAACGCGATCGTATGGACATAGCTGCTGGTGTAAGCAACAATAGCAAACCTTCCACTTCATGTGATCTGTCAGTTATAAATAACACAATGTCCCGTTCACGAGACAAGCGAACGAATGAGTTGGAACAGGAGAAGATTGACATTGCAAACGCTCCAGTACCGGAAGAACGGCAAAACTCTCCCATGGATGTGGCGGCGGCAAACCCTCCCGATGTTCTAGAGCCGGGACTAGTGGAAAAACTCATGCAGCAGTTGAGTGATCTCAAGGAAATGGTATGTGTATAATATTTAGTTGTATAATAATAAAATAAATAATCATAACTATAATTTTAATATTTTTTTCTAATCATGCATTTTTTTTTAAAGAATATGTGCCCTGTGTGTTTGGATCGATTAAAGAATATGGTGTTTATGTGCGGACATGGAACGTGCCAGCTGTGCGGTGATCGCATGGCTCCTGGCCAACCTTGTCCTATTTGCCGTAAACCAGTTGCACACAAAATATTATTGTATTAGACCCAGACAACGGAATCAACAATATTCATATGAATCTTCTACTGATCTTCTAGGCATAACCATTTATTTTAAATTCTTATTATACTTTCACTTGGTTAGATGAGATTTTGGAGAGATCATATCTAGTGTTGTTTCAATTTATTATTAATTATTCAATTTTTATTTTATTTTTTTATTGAATTTATCTCATCAATAGTTCATTTTTTACTCTATACTGTAAACTGATTTTGCAATTTGTTTTCCCCAATTAATCCCGAGCCATTATTAAACATATATAATATAATATTAGTAACTTATCGTATGACTAAGACATATGTTGTGTTTGTTTTTTTACTCGGTCATACATAATTATAGATTATATATACTTTAGACAATAGTAATGTTTAATGGATTTCATATTGTTGTAAAGTTATTATTAAATCTAAAATACTAGTGATATCAATATATTATACTTATTGTTTGTCTAAAGTTTACTTTTAATTTATTATTATAATATTTATAAAATGTGTTGTATGGCCGAACAATTACATTTTTTATGTCATTGGCTTTAATTATAATAATTGTATTTATGTAGCATTGATTTAGTTTAATAGCATTTCTTTTTGGATTAATTTGCGGTAGTTGTTGGTAGTCCACAAAGATGGTATCCACAAATAATATTATTAATAATTCATATCATAGGCGTGTCCAGACCTTGTTTGCAGGTCATGCACAGTAGTGGCATATTCAGGGGAAGTAGGTTTCTGCACTCCCCACCCTCTAAAAAAAATTTAGTTTCGGTTTAAGGATAGGTATGACCTCCAAATTTCTTAATAAGCTTTATCATTATTAATTATTATCAAATACTTCAGAATAAAAAACAATATTCCTTTTATTAGATAAATAAAATAATTAACAAGGCAATATAAAATTGTATTTTAAAATATAATTAATGTGTACCTAATACTTTTTACAAATATTTTTATAATCACAAATGGTCTTAATACTTAATATATATTATAATTCTAAACGTCGTTTTGTTGGTATCATCACTTTAAATTCCTCGATAACTTCGTCGTAGGTAATTAATATTTGTTGTCATCTGTTGTTCTATGAATAGAAACATTAAAGCATCAAGTCTTTCTTGAGTCATGGTGCTGCGGAGTTTTGTTTTTACAATTGTCAGCTTAGAAAATGCACGTTCGCATGAACAAGTTGTTACCGGAATAGGTATAGTGGTAAAAAGTACTATTACTTTATAGAAGTGAAGAAAAATACAAGTTCTATTATTTGAATTTAGAAAATCAATCCATTGATGAAGTGTTTTGGAAGTGGTTCCACAAGGGAAACATTATCAATAATAAATTGTAATAGATAATAAAAGTCCACATGATGAAAATCAAAAAATTTAATATGAAATCAGAATCTAAGAAAAGAAGTGTATATTATTATGTACCTCAATTTATAATGTAAGTTAGATCAAATTTCGCAGGTCATGCCTGTGCATGACAAGCAAGACCCGTAGACACGCCTTTGATTCATATATATGTAATTTTAAAAATGTATTACTGGTTTAATTTACAAGAATTTATTTTTATTATTAATTGTTTGTAGTTGTTAGTAGTCAACAAATATAATACTTGCAATTAATATTATTATTATTTATAGTAAACAATTTATATTTTTTATTAGAATAGGTGTATAATTTATCTAGATTTACTATTATTATTATCAACAAAATTAATGTTTTTATTATCATTATTGATTATAATATACCTTATACTCACAATTTAAGATATAGAGGTTATTTAACACCGTATAGAAATTGGTCTCCAGAGTGATGCTCACAGTTTATCCCAAAAATCAGCTGGACCATAGAAAGAAGTAAGCTAGTGATCTCAGTGTACATAACTATATATATATTGAAATAAAATATATATCATGAAAATAGGTACATTGTTTAATTACATTTCTGCTTGGGCACTAGCGGTTTCCCGCGGGACGTAATCGAGTATAAACATTGTGCATCAAAAATAATGCTGTGTTTATTAACCTGTATGTCTTAAATCGTGCTTATAGGTGGTTATGTTCAAATATTATAAATATATAATAATATTAACCTTAGTAGCTTAGTTATTGATTTCTTTAGTATTAGTTATGATCTATTATGATGGATGATAAACTATAGTATGTAGTGTTGAGGTGTACTCTAGACTCTACCAGTAGTATAATTATAGCATGTACTACCAAAAGTAGAAGTATTGAACAAATTATATTAACTGATTTAAAATTTTAATTATATAACTCAAAAAAATGTATTCCAATAATTGTAGTTTATACAAGAATAATCAATGTCAATATATCTTTTTTGTTTTTTTTATCGGAAGTACTGAAAATGAACTATGTACTCTAAGTAATTTTGTTTATAGTACAATTTATCATCAATCATCATTCATCAACCAATATACTTAATATTATATTACATACAATTTTAGTAATTTTTTATTTCATTATTTTCTCTAATATTTGTAGTTTATTAGTATATTATTATCAGGGCTCGGGACTTAAAGCATTTGCTTATTTTTTTAGATTGACTTAAAATGTAGCAGAGTACTATAGAAGTGTATGTCATGTTACAACACATTCAATTATGAAATTTGAGAGTGCTTTTTTTTGCTTTTTTCAGTGATTTTTCAAAAAAATGCTTATTTCAAGTTTTTATGCTAATTATTGCTTTTTTGACCAGTTTTCATACTTTTTTATGGTTTTCTACTGCAAAGTTGTTTTTGATAGAGTTAAAATTAAAAATAATTTAAATAAAAAAATTTATTAAAATTTATTAAAAAATTATTTTTTTTCAACTATTTGTAAATATTGTTTACATTTTATTTTTCAGAAAATCCCTTGGAAAATCCATAAAATCCTCGTCCTGAAAATGAAGTTTATTTTTTTTTATAATATAAAGATAAATTTTTATTTTTTTTTAATTGTTTTTTTTTTAATAAATATTTTTGCTTAAATTTAAGTTTTTTAAATGCTTATTTGAGTGCTTATAATGATGTTTTTAAGTGCTTATTTAAGCGCTTATTTTAATGATTTTAAGTGCTTTAAGTCCCGAGCCCTGATTATTATTATTATTATTATTATCATAGGCGTGCCTAGACTGGTCGCTGGGTATTCGGCTAGTAAAATGTTCTCCTCAAAAATATAAAGGCGTCCAAAATATTGCTTTAAAAATATTTACAATAACATTTTGTTATAAATATGTGTTCATTGAAAAGGATAGTATTTTATATTAATATTATTTCATAATTCTTGTCTCATAATCAAGCCGTAAATATTGATTGTACTTAAAAATCTTGTTATTAGTTCTACTTCATTCATATTATGCCCTCTAAAAAAAATTATCTATACCACAAGGAGCGCATACTCTGCATACCCAATACCTATGCATACCTATGATTAATTTTTTAAACATTTATAGTTTTTTTATGCTATTATTCAAAATTGTATATTCAATATTATACAACAATCTTAAAATAAACTCATTTAATCACTTAACTCCTGGCTGTTTTCAATACTTGCACATTTTTCATTCATAATAATGATTTATGTATCAACTTAGAACTTGTACATTCACAACTAATTATACTTGATAGTTGAATTGTTTGTTCTGATTTTCTCGGCACATTATAGAGATATAAAAAGTCAATTTATTAGTTTTTGAAACAAAAATAGCATAGAAATTAATATCTTTATAGTTAATTATTCATTGGATACATTCATAGCCGTTGAATTTACAAAATATATAGATATTAGATAATTGTTAAAAATTCTGAATTCTTCATGCTTGGATGTTATATTTAAATGTATTTTTTTTATGTGTACTTAAGAGGGCTGTTGGTCGTGTTTTAAGGAAATGAATATAGGCCATGATGAAGTGTGTGAAGTAAATACACATAAGTGCTTATGAGTCTAATCTGTAATAATTTTCAGTCAATATTTCCTAGAAAATTCCTGAATTATAACAGTACTCCCGCAGTCCCGCCATATACCGCCTGGTAGGTCGTTTGTTATAAAAATTCACAGTCAATTAACTTACGTTAGCGCCAGGCATTGACAATGGTATTAAACCATTGCGAGGCATGAGGTTTTTGGTTGGGGAGACACTGCAAAAAAATGGCATTAATACGCCTAGACTCCCTCTTTTTTATTTTATCTATGGGTGAAATATAAATGTTCCAAAAACTAAAAACAAACTGAAATATTGTATTAAAAAAGTTTAAAACGTTACAACTTCCTTAAAATGATAATTTAATAAAATAACAAATGTACAAATTTTTTATGAGTAGTTAATAATTACTTCGTTCAAAATGGGTTTAATTAAATTATCAGCCATGGCCCATGAGGACAAATTACAAAATAAAACAATACAATATTAAGGAACACGTAGATACAACGTACCTATCACGATATCGTGACAATGCGATGGCGACGTCGATAATAAAAATTGAGGACTGAGGTAATTACGAACTGCGAGACTTGTCTCATAGCGTATATCGCCTCAGTTCTCATACGCACGACTGTATGGGGCACATCTAATTTATTTTAAGAATTATATAATTGTACAACGAAAAACCGATTTTAACAAATATTGAAACACACATCATAATTTATTACATTATAATATAAAATAAAATTCACATTTGTAAATATTTTATAAAACAAAATAATTATTCGTGCAGTGTTCTAATTTCTAAGCGGGGAGACGTTGTCTCTTTGTTTTCTATGACACTTAGCCACTGGTATTGAATAAGATAAAAGTATTCATTTAAAAAGTGGCTGTTTGACCAAAATGCCAGAGAATACTAGGGGTTTTGTTTAACAGATTATTATTTTTAAAGCTGATTTTAATTGTTTAATAAGTTTACTAGGTTGTTATAGAGGTGATTTATAAAATTAAAATTAAAACGACCTATAAAATTATCATATGTAGACAACAGGTGTGATATATGACGTAT